TTGGAATGTTTGTAATGGTGAAAACCCCACAACTGCACTATAGGGGTAAGACGGAATAGATATGTAGTGATGAGTTTTGTGAGAATGTTTCTCAGTAAAAAGAAAAAATAAGAATACATCGTCGTGATCAGATCGAACAATCCAATTACTAGAAAAAGCCAAAATTATACACTCATTAAGGGTAGTTTGTACATTTTCATACACTGTGGACTCCACCAGACCCACCAACCACCAACTCGTTCTCTCTCTCTTTCTCTCTCTCTCTCTCTCTCTCTCTGATGTAGCGCAGCGTTAACGAAAGGGACAAGAGAGAACAAATCTCAAAATTCCTATGTTTATTCAAAGTCCACCGATCGGTTAGATGAAGAAGAAGAGATATATAGATCCTAATAGAGTCCTGAAACTTCTTACTTTTTTATCTTGCCTACCAAGTAATAACTATTCTAGATATTAAATATATTCTTGCCAAGTTCAACTAAATAATAAAGCGTAAAGGAAATAATAAAAAGAGAAATATGAATAAATAAATAAAATAGAGCTGTAGCAAATCGTATTTGTGCAAATAGGCGAGAGTGATCTCCTCTCCACCATCCTCCCCTGGTTTCGCCCTTGAATTTGAATTGATCTCGTCTCCATCGGAGGTATCGCCCAAGCATGGCACAAAGTGCTTGATGTTGAAAACATCAGAAGTACGGACGTGCGAAGGTAGTCGGAGACGGTAGACATCAAGATTGATCTTCTCGAGGATCTCAATCAGGCCAAATTTATGAATTGACATCTCGATATACGCGCAAGCCGAAAAGCATTCTGCTGGCAAGACCGCACATACAAAATCACCAACGTCAAACTCTTTACCATTGACGCCTTCACCTAAAACTGATTTTCCTTGTTCCAAATTCACTCGCCCCTTCACCATCTCCAGCGACAAGCCTCGGTGTTCTGTTGGCTCCACATAATATGGCATACGTGTGTCGCCATCTTCCATATCAGATCCTTTATATCTAAAACCAACAGAACTACTCGCAGTACATTGCCTCCCACCACTAGGACCAGTAGAAGATGAATGTTCCTTTTCTAAACAAACAAATTCCTATGATAAGAACCAACATCAAAATCCATTGAGTGTACACCACCACAATTCCCCGCATACTCATTCATCATGCTTGGCCCATAAGACCCATTTGAGCAAAAGATGCAGCAGGAGATGGAGCAGTGCCACCAATCACACTAGTCTCCAAACAATCCCGTGTGTCTGTAATGTAGTCATTAACCACATGCCGAGGAACCTCGAGAGCACCCGCGTGGGCCTCGTCCATGGATGCCTCGGCACATGTCAGCGGAGCACGGAACGAGTCCTCTGACGAAAAACCAAAGCATGAACAACATCTCCAAATATGTGTTCTTCGGCTGGTTCGGGCTCCTTGTAAGAAATAGATGGGGCCGCATAAATGTCACCGTTGTCAACGACATTCTCAACCCCGGCAATTAGGGCCCGCGCACCACTCTGGTGAGAACACACGGCATGTTTGTGCCCCATCTCCCCACACAAAAAGCACCGCAATTAGGGCCTGCCGCCCTGACGATTTCCAACCGCTGCAGCCTGTGTGACGACACCCACTGCCGCTGAAGAAGAGTCTGGCACTGCAGAAGCTCTGCCCAGGCCCGGTCCGACGTTGTGAATATGCGGCTGGCCTGCAAAGGCCGTCTGGCCTTCCAGGCCCTCCGCTGGAACCTGTGAAGAAACTGTGTGTGGCGTTTGTGAGAAGGCCAAACTCAATCGTCGAGCCTATTGTTGCTCCATGAGTATAGCGCGTTGGTGAGTTTCGGAGATTGTATCCGGTACAAATAAATTTAGGGTATCCCGAATCGCCTAAAGCAAGCCCTCCAATATATCGGGGCACCAAATGATTGTCCGTCGCACCCACACACACATACGACACACACACACACACACACACTCAGCTGTACCGCCCAACCTCCGCCGCCCGACCACCGTCACCCACCACATTTCCCGGCCGTCTTCTCCGGCTAGATACGCAGTCGTCGTGACCTCACGACTTGGAAACAAGTCCCGGTCTCTGGCAAGGATATGTGGCCGTGAATGCCGGTCCCCGTTCGGCCAGCGCTGTCGCTGCCATGCTGTTGCAGACTGTAAGCAGGTCTCAGTCGCTGGCAACCAGGTCTCTGTCGCTGCCGCTCGACGGCGTAGTGGCCTCTCTGGACTGCGGCCGTCGGTCTGACAGAGGTGGCCGTGAACATTGGGCCCATCGTGGTGCTCAACGGCGGAGGCTGGTGCGAATGATGTCGGCAATAGTGGTGGAGATACTGTTGTGGCCTGGTGGCAAACGGCGGAGGATGAGAGAAAGTGAGAGAGCAGATCGGGGGAGAGAGGAAGGAAGAGATAAGGTGGATAGAGAAAGTGAATTGGGTTTGGTGATGTGGGCCCCACTTAATTGGATGGTGTGTATAAAATTACACAGTTGCCCTTAGATATTTAATTTGACCAAGACATGTCAAATTATTTACCATATTGCCATTAATGATTGATCAGGTTTGACTCCAGAATGACCATTGATATATTTCTTTCACTATCTACCATATATATATTAGCAAAGAATTAGTTAAACAATCTAAATAAAATTTACTAATAAATATCTTGCGTTTCCGAAAGAATTTATGATTTTAGTTAAATATCCGACAATTCCATCTGAGTTTTTCTAAATTATATACTTATGTTGGTTAATTAATCAATATAAAAAATACGTGTAATTGTATATGCATCCGGCTATTCCAAAAAAAAAGTCCGGGGATTCCAAAACAAATATATATATGGTTTTATCTAAATTATATCCGGTTGATACTTAATTAAATATCTAACTAATATCTGTTTTTTTTTCTAATTTATATCTGACTGTTAATTAAGGATGTATTCAACAAATATCCAAAAACAGTTCTTTAATAAAGTCCTAAAAAAATCTTGTTATTCTTAAATTCTATTATGTTGTTACTTAATCAAGATTATTAATACACATTATAATATATATATATATATATAATATAAAGATTTATTTTATTGTGGTAAATTTATATATATNCTAGCGGAAAGAAGAAAATAGCGCAGGGTTGAAGTTGGTCTAAGTCTCAAAGTCTCAACTATGCCACATCACGGTAGAACTGGCGTGATTCAATCTTTATATATTTATTTTACGGGATTTCAATCTTTGCTTCACGCGAATGAATGAAAATGAAAAGGTGGATTTTTTTTTTCTAACCCTAATAATTATTTGACTTTGTGCACTTTTTAAACAATAAAAAATAAGTAATCGCATATCGTATTCATTTTTTTTGACTTTGTGCACTTTTTTAAACAATAAAAAATAAGTAATCCATTTAGTATTCAATCTTTTCTTTTATAACCCTAACAATTATTTGATTCTACGCACTTTATTAAACAATAAAAAATAAGTAATCGGTATAGTATGCAGAGGAAAAAACTACTAGCAACCTATACTTTTATCAGTTTCACACTTTGCAACCTAAACTAAATTTCATAACAAATGACAACCCATACTACTTAAAAAATCACAGTTTGCAACCTACACTAAATTTTGTAGCAAATAATAATTTTTACTATTTGAAAACTATACTAAATTTCGTAGAAAATAAAATTTTTATAATTTGAAAAATTGTAGTGTGTAATTGATTTAATAATAAAGCACATCTTGTCATACAAGTATATAAATATAAATTTGATAGATTCATTTTTAGCCCCTCTCACATTGTTAAGCCAAATTCTAAGAGTGTTTTATTGTAAGCAAACTTATATCAATTTAATGGATGCATTTGTAGCTCATCTTCACATTGTTAAGCAAATTGATAGTATTACAGACATAGCCATCGATGCACATTATTACCGATGAGAACAATAATGCCGACGGTATTATGGAAGTAGCAAATATAATATTATAATATATATATATATATATATTAAAATTTATATATATTAAATTGAATAAGATTAAATTAAGACTTTTAATTAAAATTTTAAATTTACATGTTAAGGGTTGACTTTTTTTTAAAAAAATATTGCATAATATTTTTGTTTAATGACCAGTACTTTCATACAGTACAACTCATGTATAATTTGATACTTCATTAATTTAGTGTTTTCTATGTATTTATACAAGAATAGGTTGAGAATCGACATTACTAATCGATATTTTACATTATTTTATTCCTTGTTCAAATATATCAATGGATTTGTGTTCTTAAAATTTTTACTCTATTTCCACGAGTAGGAGCTTATTTCTCGAATATATTTGGATATATGCCTTTTATTTTCTTATTTTTCGTGTATTCCGACATGTTTTCTAGCTTCAAAATAATTGAAGATTGTAAACTAGGTTCTTTTTAATAGTAGGAGTTGTTATTTGCTATGGAACATAGTTTAAGTTGCAAACTGTGAATTTTCAAATAATGCGAGTTGCTAATTGCTATAAATTTAAGTTTAGGTTGCAAAATGTAAAAAATATGAAAGTATAGGTTGCAAATAATATTTTTCCCTAGAATGCAATCTTTTCTTTTCTAGCCCTAATAATTATTTGATTCTACGCACTTTATTAAGCAATAAAAAATAAGTAATCGGTATAGTATTCAATCTTTTCTTTTCTAGCCTTAATAATTATTTGATTCTACGCACTTTATTAAGAATAAAAAATAAGTAATCGGTATAGTATTCAATCTTTTCTTTTCTAGTCCTAATAATTATTTGATTCTGTGCACTTTATTAAAAAATAAAAAATAAATAATCGCATTTAGTATTCAAATCTTAATCATGTTTTACTTAAAGCACTTGAATTAAAAAAATAAAATGATGCCGACACGAATGATTCCACACTACTCGATCCACCTATATATATGATAACCAAGCTCCAAACACATCACCACATCAAGAACAAACAAGAAGAGATAGTAA